AATTAAAAAATATTTGTTTATAAATATAATATAATTTTATTTAACAATTTATAATACATTAAATTATAAAACTAAAACTATCACACGTGAGAATAAACTCTAAAACCTCTCCATCTAATTACTGTATTTAAATTGTTTGCTTCGATATAATTTAAATTATATAATAATTTAAAAAAAAAATATTACCAAAAGAAAAAAAAAATATTAATATTGGGTTGCTATTTCTTTTCATTTTCGCCTCCTCCTTTTCTCTTTCATATCCCTTAGGCCCCCATTACTTTTTCTTCCTCATCAATCTTCTGTATTCTTTTTTATTTTTTTCTGATCCCTAACCAGATTCTTCTTTCTGTGCTCCTGATCTTCGTCTCGGGCATTCAGGTTTCGTCGGTTTTCTGCATTTCAGCTCGATTTTTCGATTTGCATTTGATTCATCTAGTCAATGCGGGTGGACTTTCTCCAGAATTAGAGTTCTAGTTTTGCAATTCGGTGGTTTGGGCATCCAAAGGATGCAGTTTGGGAGGTCGTTATGGAATAAAAATCGATGCTCTTTTCTGGGTTTAGATAGGAATTTTTTACGATTTCTTAGATTTCGGTGTTTCTAGCAAATTAGGGTCGATTAAGAGCTTGGATTCTGTTATTTAGCGTTATATTAGGCTGATTATTGAAGAAAGTGAAGATCTTCGGCTCTATTGGAATGCCAATTTCGTGAATCTATTGAATTTTTTGGGGAATTGGTTTTGGTTGGGTTTTATTTGATTACGCGACAATAAGTGCCGAATTCGACACAAATCTGAGTAATAGGTAGCTGTGTTAAGCTCTTGGGTATAGGTTGTTGAATCAAAGTTAGAAGGATGGATCATGTCATTGGTGGGAAGTTCAAACTTGAAAGGAAGATCGGCAGTGGATCTTTTGGAGAGCTTTATTTAGGTATGGTAATCTTTTATTGCAGTGTTGATTTTATTAACAGCATTGTGTTTTTTTTTTCTTTTTTTTCTCCTTTTTATAAAGTTTATGGATTGGCGTTTCTTTTGGTTTTTAAAGGGGTCAATTTACAAACAGGAGAAGAAGTTGCTGTTAAGCTGGTATGTAATATTTCATTAGATGCAAGTATTTGTTCATGTTTCTGGCTTTGGGGGTTCAATGTTTAGGTCCATGTGAATATTTTGAGAAGATCTTTTGGGTAGTGTTCTTTTATTTGGTTTGCTGATGGATAGACTGTTATAAGTGTTAAGTTTGATTTCAATTTGTAATCTTTGATGCCGATTTTTGGCCCTCGAGTACTTTTGAAACAATTATTACTGTTTCTAAAGCGTGCTCATTTGGCTGTGCTTTTATCAAACACAAAACTTCATCTATGTTTTCTTTTTGAGTTTCAGGAATCTGTGAAGACCAAGCATCCACAGCTTAATTATGAGTCAAAATTGTATATGCTTCTTCAAGGAGGAAGTAACTCTCTCTCTCTTTCTCTCTTTGTTCTATTGCACGACATGATAATTTGTGTTGTATTTTTCTCTCAGGCTAGGCATACTATGAGGATAGTACTAGGAAAAACAGTGGAATCTCTGGGCTGATGGGTGCAAGTATCTCTCTTGAATTTATAAATTTTGTTCCATAACTATCATGAGTCATGGCTGCCAGTAAAACAATAGTCTTCCCCTTAAACTTTAAATGTGAGCAGAGTCTTCAAACAATCAATCACTTGTTTGTGCAAGAGAATGGCCACATATATTTCTCTAGACACAGTGTGAACAGAATATTTTGCCATGAATAATGTGTAGTTTATCATTTTGTAAGACAAAAAGTTTAAACCACAAAGTTTTTATGTAAATAACTGGATTGAGTTTCTCTTTGATATAGCGGGGATTCCACACCTCAAATGGTTTGGAGTTGAGGGGGATTATAATGTCATGGTCATTGACCTTCTTGGACCAAGTTTGGAAGATCTATTCAATTACTGCAACAGGAAATTCTCACTAAAAACAGTGTTGATGCTTGCAGATCAATTAGTAAGTATTTCTTACATTTTTTCTTCTATTTTTGAGAACCTCTTCAGCTGCTTTCTCCCCCTTTTTCTTATCTTTCATTGTTTTCTGTTCAGATAAACAGAGTAGAATATATGCATTCAAGGGGTTTTCTTCACCGTGATATAAAGCCTGACAACTTCTTAATGGGCTTAGGACGTAAAGCAAATCAGGTACCCCTTTTTTTCTCTTTTGGGCATTCACCATTATATGAATGCTGAAAACTTCTCCTAGAAATCATTCGATTACACTAATTGGAAATAGAAAGTTAACAACTTGTTCAGAAATTATGGAAGTTAACTGGCCATAGATTTGGTTGTTGATTTTAGATTCTTTAACCCTTTGTTGTTTTGTGCTCCATGAACTTCATGTGTTGAAGGGCTACTTTGTATGACAACTTTTAACCTTTTAACCTCAAAGAATTTAGTGGATTCTGACATAGGTTTTGAAGTTAAGAAATTGATTCTGTTTCTTATTTATTTTTACCATAGTATCTTGTTTTTGATTTTGTTATTGCAGGTGTATGTCATTGATTATGGTCTTGCAAAGAAGTATAGGGATCTTCAGACTCATAAGCACATTCCATATAGGTGAGTATTATTTCCTTGACATAATAATGCTAAAAATCTAGAACTGGAGATGCATTATGGTAGGGTCTGTGTCCCTTTAAATCTTCAATAAGTTGAGGGACTAGGTAAGTAAGTTAAACATTTCTTATCAGATTGTCATATGCTTAGCTCTGGGGAAGGAAGATATCACATATTGCCTTAAGATTCTTACATTTTCAATAAGAAGGTAATGGAAATGCCATCACCCTTGATTATCCCAAATTCCCATCACTTAGGAATAAGAAAGAGTTCAAAACTTAAGCTAGCATCTGTGGCTTCATCCTTGCTTGAAAAACCATTTGTTTAGTGGAGCATTAAATCAAGGGATGTTTATTTTTTAATTATTTTTTCTTTTAGCCAAATTCATTGGAAAACAATGCTGGTTCACTGTTGTGGCATCTCTATCTTATTGACATTAGTGATGATGAATGTAATGTATACTGGAGCCTCATTTGGATAATATTGTTTGTAGGTGGTCTCTTTTATTTATTTTCTTTTGAAGATATTCTTTTAATTCTTGTTCTCTTATATCTTTGATGCTATCCATGCTGCCTTGTCAGCTCCAATTATTCCTTTCTAATGTGCCAATACGTAATCCTTCACCTGTATCCAAATGGTATTAACAGTCATTTAGGTTGACCCTTTCCTCTCTCTGACTCGCACATTTCTTTCTTCCTTTCTTCCCATTATTTCATTTGTATACATTGGCATGTGCATAAATAGGGCATATAAACTTGCATTTGGTGTCAGCCTTTTCCTATGATGCATGTGTTGTGTAAGCAAACTCAACAATATCTTTTTTATAGGGAAAACAAGAACCTCACAGGCACAGCTCGGTATGCAAGTGTCAACACTCATCTTGGAATTGGTGAGTAGTTTTATTTTCATGACTCATTTCCAATTATAAAAGTAACTTATACACTACCATGCAGTCTCATAGTGCACTTCTTCTAATTTTCTGGCAGAACAAAGCCGAAGGGATGATCTAGAATCTCTTGGTTATGTGCTTATGTATTTTCTTAGAGGAAGGTTGAGTATTGGGCACCTACACTTTTCATTCTATTGTTTGTGTATTTCTAGTTCATGTTTTGATAGTTGGTGAAACTTAGCCCTTATTTTTTTCTCTCCATTTTTTGGAATTCTGTGCTTCAGCCTTCCGTGGCAGGGCTTAAAAGCTGGAACGAAAAAGCAAAAATATGATAAAATCAGTGAAAAGAAGGTTTCAACTCCAATAGAGGTATAATTACCTGTTTCATTATCAGAAGATTCATTCCCTTCAAGAGAAATTTGGTTGATCTGCTAGAGAAAATGTGGTTCTGGAATGGTGGTTACTGGCTTGTGTTTAGATCATGGCATAAAATTGAATATGAATGATAATATGTTCTTCTTGGAAGTTAGTGCAATATACAAAAGAGAATATTTTTGCTGATAAAAAAAGAAAAAAACAAAAGAAAATATTTTGCTTCTTTGATTTTTACCATGGTTGCATTTGGATTATCCAAAGATCAATACATTGACATTGAAAATTGGCTGGACAAAGTATAACATTGAAGGCTTAGGCACCTGGCTTCCTTGTCTGTTCAACCTGACTTGGGTTCTCAATCTTGTTGCTGTTATTTAATGGTGGCCTATATGTTTAACAGGTGCTTTGTAAGTCATACCCATCTGAGTTTGTATCATATTTCCACTACTGCCGATCTTTGCATTTTGAAGACAAGCCAGACTATTCATATCTGAAGAAGCTTTTTCAAGACTTGTTTATTCGAGAAGGTGATTAATCACCATCATGTTAGCTAATTCTGATTGTGTCAGTTCTCTAATTAATATTGCTTGGTGGGGTCAATTCAAATTTTGTTTGAATTATTTAGCATCTGAAATTGCTGTTCTTGCAGGTTATCAGTTTGACTATGTATTTGACTGGACTGTGTTGAAGTATCCACAGATTGGTGGCAGCTCTAGAGGGCGGGTTAGTGCTGGTAAACTTCTAGGTTTTTGGTTTTATTGTCTGAGGTCTATTACTTACTGTTTACTGTTGTTTCTCAGCATTCAAGTGGAAGACCAGGTTTAACTGGACCATCAATGGAAAGACCGGAGAAAATCTCAGGTGCTCTCATATTTCTGAATTTTGAAATTAGGTGGCAATTATAAGGGTTACTAATTGTTAGAACTTAATATTAGCTACTTTTATGATTTTATCTGTTTGTTTTCATTCTCTCAGATTTCTTGAGTCAAATAAGGTTGCCAGATGGTCAATTATGATCTAATTTAAACTTTAAAGTAAAAGAATTTATACTGTTGGTTTATACAGTTGATTGACGGGGAATTTTGTATGTAAATTTCGTTTCATTTTTTGGTTGGCTGGAATACTAATCAAGACCTTTTAACAACTACTTAGCTTTATTTCCCTGAAATCTCTAAATGAATTATTTCTCTTGACAAAATCAATCAGTTGGAAGAGAGATTCGAGAGAGATTCTCTGGTGCAGTTGAAGTGTTTTCCAAAAGAAATGTTTCAAGTTCTACTCCTACTCCACACGGTGATCATTCCAGGCACAAGACTACCGAGGATGTGCCTTCAACTAAGCGTGTGGTAAATCTTTAATTTCCTGTAGATATTGTTTCTTTTGCAGTGTCTTTTCACATTGGAGTCAGTACCACGAAGGGTGTATGTGTGTGCGTGTGTATGTATTTTTCCCCCTTTTTTTTTTGTTTTTTTTTTTTGCCTGGAGAATTTTTGCTCCTAAGCTCTTTGAAATTTAGCCACTAGCTGATGCCTCTGAGTTTCATTTCTTACAAATTAATGTCATTAATATTTCATTCTTCATCTCTGAAATCCTATGTGGAAAAGTTACAAAGTAGTGAAAGGAAAGATGAAGGGAATACCCAGTGATTAGTTCCCTTTATATTGTTTAATATCAAAGATTAAGTTTAAGACTGAGTGGTTATTTCTAAAATCAATATATTTCATTTTCCCAACCTTCTGATTATTGATATTGAATTTCATTTTTTTCTCATCCCTACATCTATTTTAGATTTCTTCTGATAACAGCAAAGGCGTAAGTTGCAAACTTAGAAGCCTTCTATACCGGATGTTATTTCGGCGGTCGTGTTGGAATTAAATCCAGCTTCTTCGAACCTAATTACAAGTTCCGTATAGTTTGAGATTAACAGAAACATGTACACACAGTCTTCTATGTCTTCCATTTTGCTCGTATAGTTGTTACAGCTTAGATATGGTCACCTATCTAAATCTTATTTCTTCTTTTTTAGTCTTTGCATGGAAATTATAGCAGAAGTCATTTATTGAATTCGATTCTTTCTTTTCTTTACTATTTCAGCATCATGATTTGGAAAGACGACGGTATGGCAGCACTACAAGAAAAGCCATAACCTCAAGCAAGCCAAGTTCATCTGGTGAACTGGGTGAGGTTAATACAAACCGGATGGTCTCAGCTGGGGGTCGGCAGGCAACCACACAAAGAATCTCTGGGTATGATTCCAGAACTTCTACTCGCCATGTCATTGCTAGAGGTAGTCGTGATGATCCCCTTAGGAGCTTTGAATTCCTCTCAATAAGGAAGTGATGGAGAAGCATGTAAGGAGATATTACTTCTGTCCAATGGATAGATACTCTGCGAAGTGAAGAGAGATCTACAAATTTATTCTCATCTATGTACATGTGGCCCTAATCAATGTCATCACAGGTTAATTCACCTTTCTTACCGCATTTCCAATCTTTTCTGTACCCATTTGGTTTTCCCCTGAGAGTTTGCGGCCATTGTAATGTGTTTTAGACACCTTCAACAGAGAATTTGGATCGGAATTTTGTTTCATGATATGAGACAAATAGCTTAAATAATGGTACTCTATATATCTACTTCACCTGTTCTGGAAAACAAACAAATCTGCTTCTGGTTTTAGTGATGGAAGATTGTAATTTTATTTAGGTTCTTTCTTCTAGTAATTGTAATTTGTTTTCAAACATGTCATCAAATAAATAGAAGCATATTTGTTCATGTGTTTTACCGAGCAAAGAACGCATTAAGAGTTACTCTCACATCCCATTGTAAGGATTTTCTGTTAGCAAACGTTGTCAAAAAGAGCAGCAGCAAAGAAGGAACTCAATGGTGTAATTGGTCAGGCAAGAGCTGATGAAGATCATTTCATCTTCTGAGAGACTTTCTGCATATATCATAAGCTGTACTTACATCCCTTGAACATTAACTGGGAAAAGCTTCATCATTCGGGGTAGTTGGATAACAACATACCACTTCTGTGCTGCTGTGCCCTGTTTTACCTTCCTTCTTTCCGATAGTCGAAGGTTTCACTAAATAAACATTATCTGTTGAGAGGTGAACTTTCCAATCTAATACCTAAGGCTTAATTCAATAATTAGTATA